TCGGGGACTTTTCATTTTTATGGATATGGTAAACACCCACCCTCCACCCTCACCTCCGGTCCTCCGTTCCTCCCCCCTGTACAAATCCAGTCCACAGAGGGAGTGAGAGACATCGTGATGGGTTCCTGTGGACACTGGCTGTTCTGGACCCTGTTTCTTTGTTACCTGGTTCAAGAAGACGGTGAGTCAACGTGGAAGAGATTCTTGATTTATAATCAAAATGGATAATATTTGTTTTGAGAAATGTACTTTTGTTAATATTTATATATATTTTTACTCATTTAAAACAAGTATTTGTTGTCAATGTCATTTTCCACTCTGTTCTTAGAGGAAAAGTAGGAAAGTGAAATAAGTGGAGAAGAAAGATCAGCTGTATATTTGGAAAAATATTTTTAAAGAACCAACAATTGAACCCTCAAAGCTGAGATAAATCACTGGACTAAAGTAACACCAACCTCCTTCTTAGTGCACAACAGTGAACATGTTACAGTCGTTAATCACAACGAAGAGTGACGTCCAGAAGGTGTCAGTAAAGAAACATTTTTTGGGAAATTGAAATTTAAACTTTATTTTTCTCCCAGTGAATTGAGCCGTTGTTCCACTCTGTGATGCTGCTGTCAACTGTAATTAGTCACTAATATGCACATGCAAAGGCCTGAGTTGGCCAGGGGGAGGAGGGGAGAGGAGGGGTCGGTTCATTATTCCAGTAATGAAAGGCAGCAGCAGAGAAACTGAGGAATTCAGATCAGACTGTGACAAATAAACCAAGCCATTAAAGCCTTTGTTGGAGGCTAACTTGTAGCTATGTTCTGATAACGTCCTGTAAAAAACCTTATCAGTCAAACTGGAAGATTCTTATTCTTATTCTTTAGCATCAGTGATGAGTGGTTTTCTGGACTCTTGTCTGTTTTCTGACTCAGCTGCTCTGACAGTCACCATGAGAGAAAACAGTGTGGAGGCAGTGAGAGGAGACTCTGTCCTCCTTGGCTGCTCCTTCCTCACCTCCACCCCGCTCCACAGACTCAACATCGTCTGGACTCTGGTTCCGTCGTCCAGCCCGGAGAGTCCAATGCAGGTCAGAAGTCAGACGGGCCGCACTGGTGTCAGCTGCTTCCTGTAAATTCATCAACATCAACATCATCATCAACATCAACTCACATTGTCTGTGTTTCCTTGTTCAGGTGATTGTGTTTGACCATGGACAGGTGATGGAGGACCCCTCCCTCACTGGTAGAGTCAGCTTCACAGGTACTACAGTATCAGTTCATAAAGTGGTCTTCAAAATCTGACATTTTTCGATTGCGATTAATGATAATTCCGCCATAATATTTTTTGACAAAATTCAGGAAACGTTTCTACGAATGACCCAAAAAACTCCGTGTGTGTGTGTGTGTGTGCGTTCTTAGGCCTCCCCTGGACTGCAGACATCGTCCTAAACGACACTCGAGTGTCAGACTCTGGAGTTTATCGCTGCATGGTCAACAATCCACCAGAGGCTGCAGAAGAAGACGTGGGAGAAGTGGTTCTGACGGTGCTGGGTCAGTTCATCAGGTCACACACACACACACACACACACCACTGACCTCTGTCTCTGCACGGCTGCTTTAATCATTAATGTCACAACGTTTTATCAAACCAAAAAAAAAAAAAGATCTGGAACTGAAGAAGCCTCTTGGATGAGAGGTGAAACGTACTTTTTACCAGTTGCCTAACAGAACTTTCCAACATGTTTTTTTGAAGTCAGATTTCACTGCCTACCACTAGAGGGAGCCCAAGTGCCACCAGCTGTGCATGTTCCACTGTATGTTGTGTGTTTCAGATGACTGTTTCTATGACTGTAAAAGTCTTCATTTCATCGAGTTTTTGTCCAAACATAATAATAATAATAAAATGCTCTGACCGTGTCTGTAGCTCCGCCCTCTCTGCCGGTGTGTCAGTGGACCGGTGACGTAGATGTTGGAGGACAAGTCACGCTGTCCTGCTCGGTGATGGAGGGCGTCCCAACACCAGAGATCCACTGGGAGAAAGTCAGTCCTGAGGAAGTCCCACTGCCAGTCGACATGGAAGGTCAGGAACGAGAGCCCACACAAATACACAAACACAAACACACACAAATACACACACAAGCAGTACACATTAATATTAAACAAATATGTCATATCTTTCTTTTCTCTGATAATTATTTTTACTTCAAATGTAGGTGATTCTTATTTACTAAGACAAAATACGTTGGAAGCTGAGGAGAAAAAAAAGTTTAAAAAAATGTAATTAAATAAAAGTATCTTCACTTTGCTTTAATTCAACTCAAGTAAAAGTAAAAAAAAAAAGTACTTCATTTAAAATGTACTTCAATCGTAGCTGCTTGTTTTTAAATCAACGATTCAAACATCATCTAAAGAAAACACTTTATAAATGACTGAGTGAACGGAACTCAAACCAAACGAACTCACAGTGTCCGGGACTCGATTCAGTGTGAACGACGTTCAGTCACACCAAACAAACACGATCAAACACGATCAAACAGCGCTGGTATAAAGCGCCAGATTCTGAATCATCATACGGTCCAAGCCAAACTAAAATACTACAAACTAAAGTACAACAAGAAAGAAAAAGAAAAACAAACCAAATCTAACGCAGCCTCCATGACAGTGAAAAAGTTTGCAATTAAAACCGCAGGTGTGTCATTCCTGACCGTGCTGCTTACGTCACTGAAACTACAATAATCGATATCGCGAAGGCTAATTTCTCTTAACGGACGCACGGTTTTGACCAAACAATAAACAAAACAACGTTTGAGAAAATATATAAAAACACAGATACTGTACCGACAAACGATTCCTCAGGGTTGACGACGAAGTTTCGACAGCGACACCTCAGTCCGCCGCAGGCAGGCACGTACGTTTTCCATCGTACGATAATCGTAAAGATAAAAGTTATTTCCTCGTTTGTAAACGAAGAAATTGCAGAGATTTGGTGAAGATTTTCATTCTTTTTCCGAGTCCTCTGCTCCACGGTAGCTCTCCGTTTGGTCATCCACGTGTACGACATGACACTAGTGGGAAATCCGCGCATGCGCGCACCTAATTTTCTTCAAGTTAATGCAGCTGGGTTTTTCCTCCGGCATTTTCTTTTTTTTTTTTTTCACTCAGTAACGGGTTCTTTTTAAATGTAGCGAAGTAAAATAAATGAGTTAAAATGAACTGAAGTCAAAGTAAAATTACATATTAACAAAACTACTTAATAATAAAAATATAAATTACTTTAAAAAAAAACACGAATCAATTACAGCAACCGGAATGAATGTAATGCGTTACCTTTCACCTCTGGAATGTTTTTTTTTCTTCTTCTTCTTCTCTCGTGTCCTCAGTCTCGTCACCGTCACTGTCTCTTCTGTCTCTGTCTCTCAGGGGACCTTCTGTCAGCCTCTGTCCAAATTGCCAACGTTTCCTCTCAGACCTCGGGCCAGTATCGCTGCTCTGCCTCCAACCTCCTGGGAACCGAGAGCTGCCTGGTCCGTCTGTCCGTCCACACCCGTCAGTGCTCTGATCCAATCTAAACAAAACAAAACAAATTAAAAACCAAACCAAAAGATAACAGCAGCTCTGTTGTTCCCCAGCAGCGGATACTCACAAGTCCTCGGGTGTCCTGCAGGGGGTGCTGCTGACCATGTCCATGAGTGCGCTGCTGATGGCGCTGGTGCTGCTGCTGCTGTGGCTCCATCGCACCGGACAGGATTTTAGGAGGAGAGGGGGGAGGAGGAGGAGGAGGGAGAGGAAGGGGGTGAAGGGTGAGGAGGAGGAGGAGGAGGAGAGTCCACGCGAGCTCCGATTCTCCGCGTCTGTAATGAAACGCTCTTTTGTTTGATTCTCTCAAAGTCACCGGGACTGGAGGAGGGTCGCTGCGGGGTCAAAGGTCAACATCTCACATACTGACGTCTGTGGTTCGGTCACTTCTTCATTTCTTATTCCATTTTATAAAGGCACAGTTCAGATATTTTTCTCTTTCAGGTTGTTGTTTGTTCACATTTAGAAAAGGCTGATTACAAATACAGTTGTCAAAAAGTACATTTAAAAGTACACCAAAAGTACTTCAGTACCTCGGTACTGTGATGATGAGTGATTAATGCCAGGACTTTTTGTTCGCGGTTCTCCACGTAGATCTGGGAATTCAGGAAGTGAAGAAGTGACATGGCCAAAAATAAAACTTAGCTCCAAAATACCAGAGAGTAATACTCTCAACATGAACTCTTCAGAGTAATACTCTCAACATGAACTCTTCAGAGTAATACTCTCAACATGAACTCTTCAGAGTAACTCTTAGCTGTTAGCCGCCACAGCTAGCTCCTAGATGGTCAGAAGTTACAAACGGCAGACAACAAAATTGTTTGCAAACAAAGACACAAAAACCTTTAATTTAAATAGAAGAAAAGAAAAAAAAATTACATAAAAAACTGTACAGAACATTTAAACATCCACTTAAAGTCCTTAAATAAAAGACCACCCCCCAAAAAATAGCTAAAATAATCCAATGATAAAGTGGGATGGTGTATGGTACATTTTTGTGCAAAAGTAGTTTCAACTGATTCTTCCCAGAACTGCTCTTCGCTCAGCACTGCCCTCTGGTGGGTAAACAGAGGAGCGCCCCCCCTCAAGATAGTGTCTTCAGATGTAAAAGAACCCCCCAAAACAAATCCAATAATAATAATAATAATAATAAAATAGATTTATATTTTAAATATATATCTATATAAGAAAACATGCTGTACAGAAGTCCAGAGATTTATTAAAATCCCTTTTTATTTGAATTAACACTCAGGTTTGTCCATTAACGTTGTGCTTTCCTCACTTCCAGCAAAGTCATAAACAATAAGATTTATCTCCCTGTGGCTTTGGACAAGAGATGGTGAAGAGTAGGAATAAAAAACTGAATCATCAGAACCACTGTTTTTCCTGAGTCAAGGAAGGAACTTGTTCCAGAGGGGATGCTGACTCACCCACTCCTCACCTGGTGGAGCGTCTTCACAGCCCAGACTAACAGAAATCTCAGGGAAGAAAAAAAAAAATCTCCTTCAAAAAAAAAAAGAAAAACCAGAGCTCTGTTCTATTTATAAATGTGTGTCCCTTCTTCAGATGTAAGAAGCAGAGGTGTGGGTGTGTGAGGGGAGGGGTTTTGGGGGGGAGGGAGGAGGAGGGGTACGTGCAGCGTCTTCTTGTTGACCCTCGGAATCAGACCGTTTCCTAACGTCACGATCTTACACCCGGTTCACTTCTGTTTCTCCTTTTTTTTTTACAAAATTAAACTTTCTCCTGCGGAGAAACAAAAATAAAAAAGTCAGGTTTTAGACCCTGAGAAGCTGAAGTCGTGTTTCCAGGTTTCCTTCAGGAGAACGTCACGTCTGAACCACGGTTAGCTCAGCTCTGATCAAACGTATGGCACACGTGGAGGGGGACGTGGGGGGCACTGGTTTTCTGGTGGAACCACAGACTGTTTATAAGGAATGGACGGAGCTGTCGGTTCAACGTCTTTGATCGTGATTATTCAGGGACTCAAACTACAGACTTCAAACATGTTCACGCTCCAGAAGGTCAAAGTGTCAACTGCAACACTATGATCTGATCGGAGACGACTTCAAACATTTAACATCCACAGATGTCTGTTAAATCGTGGGACTCAAACCTACGGCGCCGCTTAAAAAAAATAATAGAATTTTGTCCTGAAAGTAATTTGTTTTAAATCTCTTCATTAGAAAAAAAAAAGTTTAATTTCTTCCTGAAAGTAATTTGTTTTAAATCTCTGCATTAGAAAAAAAAAAATCTTTTTAATTTCCGTCTACTCAAAAACATCACATTCTTCTGACGTATCTGTTTCTCTCGTCCTGAATGACCTGAGTTTGAAAACCCTCCCTCATTCAATCACCTCTGTCTTTTCATCCATGCTTTATCATCAATTTTACTTTAAACAGCTCTGTTTTCTACACTCATCCATGACTGGTGGTAGTCGTAGCTCCGCCCATTTCTTATACGTGGTCCATGTTTGACACAACAACCTCCGTGGGAGAACTTCCTTCTGTCACTCGTTTGAAAAAAAAAAAAAAACAAACCCCGGAGTTTCCAGAGAGATGATACGACGACGGTCTGAGGGAGGACTGGGGGCGAGGAAGGTGTTTTTGGGGGAGGGAGCGAAGTGGGGGGCAGGAGGGAGGGCAGAGCAGGGCAGATATCTGAGTCATCTTTAAACCAGCACACCATGTATAGACAAACCCCGATCAGAGAAATATGTGTGAGATAATAATAATAATAAACAAATAAATATTCCATCTTTACTTTCAGTTTTCATTCATCTTCATCTGAACCCAACTAAAACGCTGGATTGAACTGGATTAGGATCAGCAGTAGTAGTAGTGGGTACTGTAGTAGTTGGTGGCAGGAAAATGGAGAAGCGATGCAGTAGTACAGTAATGGGAGGAGGCCCGGCGGCAGAGCTGCAGGCGAAGGAAACAAGCGCTCCTCCACACACACACACACACGGAGGTGGCTGGAGTCCTGCTGCTGCTGCTGCTGCTGCTGCTGCTGCAGCAGAGAGTCAAGGATGCGATGAGACAGAGATTCACCGTCAGTCGGTTTAGACTCGGTTTAGAAAACAAACTCAGTGACCCTTAAACACTGAGGAACCTGTGATTCTTCAAGTAAACCGATAAAAAAAAAAAAAAAAAAAAACGTTCCACCCACCAAAAAAAAAAAAACTTTAAAAAAAAGGCTTTACATTTTTAACAGAGTGGAATCCAGCTTTGGTTTCCAGCTCTGTCCCACGTCCGTGTCCAGGTTTTTAGGAGACTGTAAACTGGTGGTTACACCACCTCAGGTTGGCCCAGCTTGGTTTTTGTTTTTTTAAACATTTTCCCTGTAAATCGTCTCTAAATCAGAACTGCCGAGTGTTGATATTTTCAGGCACCTTCAGAAAGTAGGCCAGAGGATAAGGATAACATTTAGGTAGAGTGGGGGGAGAGTGGGGGGGGGGAGGCGGGTTATTTTCCTTTACAGCGTGGGAGAAGTGATGTGGAGTCTGACTGGTTGAACTCAGTAAAACAGTTAACACGTGTGAACGTCCAGTGATGATATGATAACCTGCCCAAACAGCAGAGACTCACTGTTCCCCTGGTTGATTATGAGAGAGAGAGAGAGCCAGAGGGGGAGGGAAGGGGAGGGAGAGGTTTACAGAGTCCAGTCAGAGATGAGCCTCTTTTCTCCAGTATAAAAATAAAACCATCCTCCAGCAAAAATATCCTCTAAAATTGCACTGGTCTTTCTGGCCTATCTCTGTCGTCCATTAAGACAGATGGACGTCTTGGTCTGAGGAAAAAGAAGGAGAACCGGCCCGTGTTTCGGGCTCCTGCTCGTCGATGAAAGCTGACTTTGGCTGAGGTCCGGTCCGGTCCGGTCCGGACGGATCAGGGACGCCGTCTGGCTGAGAACAGGAGCGGGAACCAAATCCGTCCAGTATTGCAAGTGAGGATTTGTGAATCGGCGCGTCAGCTGAAGGAGGTGTTGATGGAGGGAGCCCTGAAGGCCGGGTTGAGGGCCCGGTGTGGCCCGGGTGGTGCCAGAACCCCGGTCCCGACTGGGCCACGTGTGCTTATTTGACTGCAGAGAATGTCACTGGAGCGGAACGTCCCTCAGTGCAGACTCAGCGCAGGTGCTCAAGTAAAGGCAGCTCTGTGGATTCCTCTCTGGGGGTCAGGGGGTCACCTGGGGTCAGCAGGGTGGGGTCGATGATCTGAGTGGCTCCTAGAGGGTCCTGCGTGGGGCTGACCTCCTGTAGAGGAGCCGGAGGCTGGAGGGGAGGAGAGGAGTCGTATTAAAGTGTATTCACTCATGTTAGAAACACGTATTCACAGCCGTCGTGTCCCCGTGTCCGTCTCACCTGCGTACGTACGGTCTGAACCGTTCCTCCGTCGCCCTCTGCTGCTGCCGCAGGGCCATTGAAGCCTTTCCTGCTGGAGAAACTCCATTTACTGAAGTGGCTGTCGTAGTGAAGCGCGCTGCAGCCGAGACCAGCCCGCTGGCCCGATCTGTGACCCGAGTTCTCCAATAGGCCGGCAGAGCAGAAGCGCTCTGGTCCGGGCAGAGGAGGCGGAGCTACAGTACTGCTGAAGGAGAGCTGGGAGCTGGACAGCTGCTGACCCAGAAGACCCTGGATGGAGGAGGTCCGCTGTAAGGACGTCAGCAAACCCGCCTCCATCCTGCCCTCCGATTGGCTGAAGAGGGCTAACGGGAGAGGCTGAGAATGGTGTGGCCAGCTCTGGGTCGGGCCGACCGGGTTGTCAGTACCTGAAGACAAGATGTTTCTGAATTAGTTTCTGCTGATTCACAGGTTCTCAGCGGTGGTCGGTGCAGGCGTGGCCGTGCTCTCACCCATGGAGGGCTGGAGTGTAGTGATGTGTGGTTGGGGCAGGCTGGAGGCAGGTGTACTCTGGGTGGTGTGGATGGTTGGGTTGGTGGTGATGGAGGCGGAGCCTCCACCACAGTCTGAGTCTTCAATATTTCCTCCACTGTTACAGCCCGCGCCACAGCCTTTCTGGAGCCTGGACAGACGAAACAAACAAAGGAAAAGTAAAAGGACGTCCCTAAAAAATAACACGCAGAAAAAAATATTCCTTTGAGTTACCAGTAGGGGTATATTCTTATTTTTCCTTATTGTTTACCTATGTGAAAAGCTACCAGTAGGTGGCAGTAATTCAAATTCAAGGTTTTAAATCTGCCAGTTAAGCTGGAAGAAGTGAGGCAGCGGGTGTTCACAGGGTGAGCGCCCCCTACAATTAATGTAAAAACATAAGTCTATGTGCTAGCACACCGCTAACATGCTACATATTAAACTGCTAATGTGCTACATGCTCAGTGAGAGACAAAAAACAACTGCATTTTTAAGAATGTTTGGCCAGATTACAGAATTAAATTTTCATGAAAAAGCATTTGTTTATAAAAGGTTCTTAAAGGCATACTTAGCACCATCTACAGGCCACAAAATACCATTGCAAATGAACTAATAGTAACCCTTTAAAACAGCTTCAAAACAATGTCAAAAAATGTTAGCATTAAAAACAGAACGTGGAGCCTCTCGTACCTGTCCCAGCTGCTGATCAGCCAGGTGTAGATGTTGTGTGGGCTGACAGGACCCCCCCACACAGACCTCAGTTGACCGTGGCCCCCGGCGTAGGAGGTGGTGAGGGGGGACACGTAGATGGGGTAACCAATGGGCTGGTCGCAGGAGGAGTTGATCATGTTCCTCAGGGCCTGCTTGGCGTTCTGAATGCTGCCACGCTCCGGGTTACGGTTCCGCAGGAAGACCAGCTCCTGCTGCTGCCCCGCCCACAGCCCGCGCACACACTCCCTGTTCACCTGCGGAGCAGGGTGGGCACATTCACAGGTCAGCAAAGATATGAGCTGAACTTCATTCAGATAAAGTACGAGGATCATCAGTCACAGCAGTTTTTTTTCCCCCCAAACTTTGTTCTGATGAAGACCCACTTTCACAGATGACAAATGTTTCTGACCCAGTTTACAACATTAACTGTAGGAAAGCACCAGCCTGTTCATCCTCCACAGTCTACCTGTGGGTTTCATTTTTCTGTGAACATTTCTGTAGATACAAATACACCAAAAAAACCCCTCTGTAAAGGACGTTGACTGCACGGACGTTCACCTTGATGACTCTGAAGCTGAGGAACCTCTTGTTCAACATGATGATCTTGTACTCGTCGCTGCCGTCGTCCATGATGTGACGGAGGGCTAGCAGCGAAGGCATGTTTGCGAGGATAGCGCTGCGCCACACGGGGTCTCCCTCGTGTGAGATCAACATCTTCTCCTCGTTGGACGTGATGGCGTCGTAGAGAACCATGGGATCTTCGTACTCGTCTGGAGATGTGAAGTGATCCTGGGAGGAGAGAAAACCCAGAGGGATGAAGAGGTGTACCACGTTCTGAACCAAAGTTCATACATCGATCCATTCACCAACCTCAGAGACTTTATTTGTCACAATTAATGAACTGAAAGACCTTTGATAACATGATAACGCTCACAGGAAATGATCATCAAACGGTCGAGTACACGGAAGTATCTCCCTAGTTTTTATTTTGTACATACCTGAT